TCATTATATTGATGTTCCAAATATGGATGTTATGTTTATGATTTCTGCACATGGTAGTCGCTCTCATCGTAATCCTCCACAAATGACCAACTTGCATCAATTTCAGGTAGATTTATTCTATTCTGTCATAGATATACAATTTCAAGAATTTAATGATCGTATCTCGGAGATAAATACTGAGTTACTCCTTTGTGTAGCTTGTCTGTGTCCACAAAATTCATTCTCTACTTTTGATAAAAGAAAGTTGACTCAACTTGCTAAGTTTTATCCACAAATTTTTTCAAAAGTAGATCTCTTCACACTTGATGATCAACTTGATAATTACATTTTTTATGTCCTCTCTAGCAAAGAGTTTGAAAAATTAAATGGTCTCAATGCTCTCGCGCGGAAGTTAGTTTTGACAAGTAAGAGCAGAAAATATCCAATGGTTCACAAGCTTTTGACTTTGGCACTAATTCTTCCAATTGCTACTGCTACGGTAAAGAGAGTATTTTCTGCCTTGAACATTGTAAATGATAGATTGCACAATCGAATTGGAGATAAGTGGATGAATGATAGCCTTATTGTTTATGTGGAGAATTATATACTCTTAAAGATTGATAATGAGTCGATTATACAAAGATATCAAAGTATGAAAACTCATAAAGAATAATTTTAATGTATTTCATTTTAGTATAATGTTTGTGTTATAATTTTTTATTTATTTTTTATTTTTACTAATACTGCTGCACTGGAAACCTGGGTCCACCCCTGCATACAGTTCAGTACTAGATGCCAACTTTTCACCAAAACCCAGGATCCATATGGAGCAGTAGGGACATCAACAAATTATGCATAAGCACATAAACTTCGACTGATCAGAATTAGTAAATTTAGTGGAAACTCCCTCAAATATGGAAAGAATTTACCAACTCGATACAGAATCTTACTATGTCATGTATCATCAATCATACACAAAAACAACCATCAAACAGCTTATGCCATTCAATCAACAACCAGGAAAAAGTAAATCCAAACCATCACCCACCTGCACAACATGGCCATAATCTCCCCATTTGTTGATGTTTTCTTTCTTTGGCGTTCAAAAAGGGTATGCAATTCAGGACAAATTTATCAAATAAAAAAAAAAGGATAGGTTCTTCCAACATAAAAGGTTTTTTTTCACTCATAGTATCATCAAATTTTGCTAGAATTAAAAAATTTCAGCAATAAAGAACCCATCTTTCGGCAAAATCAGCTCAAAAAATCAAAATTTCCAAGGAAATCTCATTCAATAAGATGACCAATAAACACAAAGTATTCACAGAAATCAAAAACCATAAAACCTCAATAAATATTCTGACCTGTGATGTTGATGTTGATGTTGAGGGTGCACCTATTGGTTTATCCTCTGAAAGAGCATAATACATCCCATCTTCTGTTCTGGGTTTTTCCATTTCTTTACTCTAAATAAAAAATCAACAAAACCAATCCCAGAAAACAATTTAATCATCCAAAAATTGCTAAATTCATCATATATACAAGAAAGACTACGGAAAGTGAGGGTTCTCTTCTTGGTTTTTACTTGGAAGATGAAGGGAAGGTCAGGTGACGTGAGGTGGGGAGGTGGGTTGGCCCCCACTCACGAGTTGCCGTTTTCTTGCCTCTTCTCTGTGTGTACTCCTCGTCCTTGGTTTGGAACTGTGTGTGTCCCTGTTTGTCTATGGTTGTATTCCGAATAAAATATTTTATAGGTAAACTTGGAATTTTTCTTCATTTTTTAATTACATGTTTTTCAAAAAGTCATTATTTAAAATATTATTTTTCTTATTCTTTAACTACGAATCCTCTAAAAATTACTATTTAAAACATCATTTTTCTGTTTACAATGATCATCGAACGGGGTTGTATAAACACCAAAATGTCTTTTTGTTTGAAAAATACTTTCCGTTTTCGGTCGGAAAATAGGGAATTATCAATTAGAAAATGTTAAATATATTCAAATCACCATTTTTGATAATTAGACTATATTAATATATGAAAGGTTTATAATTTTTAGACGTTATCATATTTATATCTCAAACTTTTTTTGTATCTCATCCTTATTCTCAAATTAACATAAATTATTATTGGTTATGATTTATCTCCAAAATTTTATTTAAGATCAAGTAAAAAGATTAATTTGTCATTGTATTTTTAAATAATAATAATAATAATAATAAATAATGCAAAAATACTCATAAATATTTGACCCTTGTTTTAAAGCAAGTTGACAATATTTTTGAAAGAAAATCACGATTAAGGATAAAACAAATTTATCAATGAAGTGTAAAAATAAAAATGTGACGAAGAAACAGTTAAGAATATAAGTGTACTAACGAATAAATGTTAATGACTTTTAAAGTAATAAAATATACTATATTTATGAATAAAAATTGTAATGTAAATATAATCACCGAAATTAGACTCTTCAACCAACCATTAAGTGAAAGGAAAGTACAAGTATTTATTTATTTATTTTTGAGAAATTTGCCCATAAAACATTAACATGTCACTCTTTCCATTTTACGGGGATTTTTTTTTTTTTTTTAAATTTTACTTTTTTTTTTTTTTAATGTTGATGTTGATGTTGAGGGTGCTCCTATTGGTTTATCCTCTGAAAGAGCATAATACATCCCATCTTCTGTTCTGGGTTTTTCCATTTCTTTACTCTAAATAAAAAATCAACAAAACCAATCCCAGAAAACAATTTAATCATCCAAAAACTGCTAAATTCATCATATATACAAGAAAGACTACGGAAAGTGAGGGTTCTCTTCTTGGTTTTTACTTGGAAGATGAAGGAAGGGCAGGTGACGTGAGGTGGGGAGGTGGGTTGGCCCCCACTCACGAGTTGCCGTTTTCTTGCCTCTTCTCTGTGTGTACTCCTTGTCCTTGGTTTGGAACTGTGCCCCTGTTTGACTATGGTTGTATTTCGAATAAAATATTTTATAGGTAAACTTAGAATTTTTCTTCATTTTTTAATTACATGTTTTTCAAAAAGTCATTATTTAAAATATTATTTTTCTTATTCTTTAACTACGAATCATCTAAAAAAAATTACTATTTAAGACATCATTTTTTTGTTTACAATGATCATCGAACGGGGTTGTATAAACACCAAAATGTCTTTTTGTTTGAAAAATACTTTCCGTTTTCGATCGGAAAATAGGGAATTATCAATTAGAAAATGTTAAATATATTCAAATCACCATTTTTAATAATTAGACTATATTAATATATAAAAGGTTTATAATTTTTAGACGTTATCATATTTATATCTCAAACTTTTTTTTTATCTCATCCTTATTCTCAAATTAACATAAATTATTCTTGGTTATGATTTATCTCCAAAATTTTATTTAAGATCAAGTAAAAAGATTAATTTGTCATTGTATTTTTAAATAATAATAATAATAAATAATGCAAAAATACTAATAAATATTTGACCCTTGTTTTAAAGCAAGTTGACAATATTTTTGAAAGAAAATCATGATTAAGGATAAAAAAAATTTATCAATGAAGTGTAAAAATAAAAATGTGACGAAGAAACAGTTAAGAATATAAGTGTAATAACGAATAAATGTTAATGACTTTTAAAGTAATAAAATATACTATATTTATGAATAAAAATTTTAATGTAAATATAATCACCGAAATTAGACTCTTCAACCAACCATTAAGTGAAAGGAAAGTAAAAGTATTTATTTATTTATTTTTGAGAAATTTGCCTATAAAACATTAACATGTCACTCTTTCCATTTTACGGGGATTTTTTTTTTTTTTAAATTTAACTATTATCGTTTTGCTTTATTGCTTTTTTGTGAAGAATTCCACAATAATGTCAATAGATGGAGTTGACGCGGGGTTGGACCTACAATTCCTTTAATTAGTTGGAGTAAACTTCAAGGAAATTGCTTTAATCGAGTTGGAGTGGAAAAAAAGGATTTTCCCCCCGTTTACTGTGTACAGAAGCCGGCCACTAGAATATTGCTAGAACAGAGAGAAATGCGTGGGATCCACCATGTGATTAAAAAAATAAAAAAATAAGCGGGACCCACCAAACGTGTGTAGTCTAGTGAAATCCTTTCTGTACATCCAGCATAGTTCGTGGAAAAAAATACTCCACTTTTCATAAATTTAGAATTAGCCTTTGTAATGATTCTAATATATCCTTGTCTTTGTGAGTTATCTTCGAATATTTCTATCTTCAATTTGCACCTTCTTCTACGTGCAATTGTCCACTTTATTATTTTGACTATTTCATATTAATATAATCATTGTTTGCAACTATGCTGCAGTCTCGACAAGGTCAATAATGACATGGCACCTTCACCAAATGTAGCGAATCTTTAGTTTTAAAAATAATTTGGTTTCGAGAATGAAAAATAATTTGAAGTCAAAGTTTAACGATTTAAACAATTAAAATGATGGGGAACGCAAAAGAATTGTTGGGCAATTAAGAAAAGGAAGAAGAAATGCGAAGTGAAAACCTTGAAAGAGAAATATGTATAACCGAATGAGGGAAAATGATAAATTGGAATTTTTTTCAATAAAGGTTAATTGGAAAATTGACGTGAACATAATTTTTTTTAGTTCGACTCTTTTTCACTCCGACAGGTAAAAAGTTTCGTCTTCAAAAAATTCACTTTGAATTTAACGTGAAAGGACATTAAGAACTTATATTAGTGACATAATTGGTATATAGTACTAGATTGATGTTTGGACAAAATTAAAAAAGGAGTCATATTAATGCCTCCCGAACTTACACTCTCACTGTCACGTTATTTGAATTTACCGAATAACGTAGATTATTTGAAATAATTTACCCCTGTTTTGTTCCAAATATTGGATTATACAAAGTATGGTATTCTCATATTGGAGACGAGTAATATTCGTTGTTAAAGGTCGAATAATGGATTATTTGCCCTTAAAATTTTCTCTAACCGTTCTAAGAAATTAAAACTGATAAAAACGGTGAGCAAGAATATATGCTTGTGTAAAGTAAAGTTTGGTGAATATTGAATAATAATGAGTTGTTTTTTGAGGAATAGTTACCGCTTTTAAAATATTCGAGGACTCAATGTATGATCCCTCGTTTGGTGGGGAATTTTATTTTTTGGTGCTCGAGGCTACATTAAACTTTAAAGAAACTAGTAATTTAACTTTGGTTAGCTTCTACATGCTTTTGGGACGACAAACATTTAGTTCTATGCCGTTGCAAGGTACTTGTGTCGAAATTCTATTCTCTTTGTTGTTTTCATCCCGTTTTCGATTTTCAATTTTTTCCAAAACAGTGAAAACACGGTTATTTACTTATTTTCAAAAATGAATTTCTAAAAACGAGTTTAAAATTTACAAAGAAAGTTGAAAAAGTAAAAATATGTCGTTTTAAGTGTTTTCAGTTAAAACCAAGCTAAAATTTTCAAAACACGTTTTGGTATTTTTCATTTACGCCGCCAACAAAAACCGCCCCCATCGTCGCCTGCACCACACCGCCTCCGCCACCAAAACCGTCGACGACGACATCGTTGCCCATAGTCGTTGCTACAACATAGCCACAACCAACCACGCACAAACCAAAACCACCGCCACACCCAAAAACCAACGCCATACCATCGCCACAGCCACGGACCCAAAACCACCACACACCACCGCCACAATCACAACCAACCACCGCATAAAAAAAAAACCATCACCGTCGCATCCAACCAACGTCGTCACACCCAACAGCAGAAGAGGATGGTCTTCGACGCTGGAGGCCTTGTGAGGTGTCGTGAGGAGGGGAAGAAGAGAGAGATGGGAAGAAGAGAGAGGGAAGAAAGAGACAGGAAGAAGAGAGAGAGAGAGAGAGATGGGAAGAAAGAGAACACATTTTCTAATTCTGGGTTTTTGAAAATAAATTTTCAAAATGACAAAAAGAATACATTTTTAACAATTTCAAAATGGACACTCCAAACTAGGGGTGTCTAAAAGTCCCGAACCAAATCGAGCGGTTCTTCATAAGTTAAATATCCGAACGGGTACCCGAATCGAGAACCGATGGGTTTAAGTCGGGTCTCAGGTCTAGACCAAAAATCAAAGATCCAAATAAGAATCGACACTAAATAATTTTTTTTATTTTTTATGCAGGCAGGCTGCTTGAAGCAAATTAATTTACTTTATGTAGTGTTGCTGTAATATTAATATCTACTTTTTGCTATTTGTATGCATTGAATTAATCTTATTGGACGACTAGTTATTTATATGTTTTTAAATTGGGTTACGTTAATTTGTAAAAGTTAATAATGATATGTCATTAGTTGTATTTATGTAATATTGTTATAAATATTAAAAAATTTAATTATGGTACGGAACGGAACGGAACTCGAACCCGAACTCGAACCGTTCCATAACGGTTCCATAATTATATTTGGACCCGACGGTTCCATTTATTAAATACCCGAAAGTTTTGGGTCAGTTCAGTTCTCTTCAGAACTGAACCGAACCGACTCACGGACAGCCCTTCTCCAAACACAAAACTCAAAATGATTTCAAACTCAAAACAAAAAACTGAAACACGAAGAGAACAACCTCTTACTTATCTAAACTTAAAAAATTTATATAAATACAAAACTAGAAACTATAGTATACAAAACTGAGTGTGTGAGAATTTAAAGAGTATGGAAATATACAATAACAATTACCTCAAAAACATTTCAAAAACAATATAAGTAATTCAGAAATATCTCTTCTATATATAAAGTGGCTAGCTAACGGAATTTTGTTGGTTTAACGGAAAATCTAACGGTTTTTTATTGTTTTAACGGCAAAACGTCAAATTTAACGGAATGAAATGAAAGAAAAGAGAGCGAAGAGAGAGAAACTTTGGACCGAACCCTAGAAGCGATTCATTCTCCCCAATCGGTAGTCTGAATCCCTAGAAGCGATTCATTCACGAACTCCGGCCGGCGACGAACAGTGGGTGGCGCTTGGAATCCCTCTCCGCTCGAAGCTACCCTGAATCCCCTGTTCATCGATTTGAAATGGTTCAAACGCTGGATGCCTCGAAGCAGCAAGTAGGCGACAATCACCCAAATCTCCATATCGTGTCACCACCGCCAGCAACTAGGCTCCCTTCCGCGTGTCACCAACTGTCATTAACCCGGTTTTGTTTTTCTGATTTCAAATTTTCTGTTAACTGTTATTGTTCATATGAACTGAATCTAAAAGTTGGGCTATTTCATTTTTTTCGGCTTAATATGAAGTATATCGACAATAATATATGAGGAAATCTGGAATTTACCTATCATCAAGATTTAATATTTCCATCTACTGATTTTTTTCCCTAGGGCCTTACGAGGATGGGAAGCCTGATGCTACCTTTTCGTTTACTGACGATGATTTTGATAAAGTTGCCTCTGGGAAGATGAATCCTCAATTTGCATTCATGAGGTGCCTTTTTAGTTCGTTTTCTACTTCAATTTGTAAATTTGGCTGAATTGATTTGTCTGAGTGAATGAAAATTAATAGTTTTTGAATTTTAAATGTGTTGGATGGATGCAGGGGTGCTATCAAGATAAAAGGGAGCATAAGTGCTGCCCAAAAATTTACGCCATATGTTTTCTCCAATACTGGGCTTACGACTTGTGTTTCTTATTTCGAAAGCAGTCCAGCAATTTGAGGCTTCCATTGCGGAGGCGGCGGCTGAGAGAGGTGGAGAGAGAGATTGAACCGTCGCGGGCACGGTCCGGGCTGAGGATTGACTTAGAGAATTTCATGGAGGATGAAGATGTTAACCCAGAAGCAAAGCAAATGAGAAGCTCACTTGTAGAGTTTATGCTTGCACTGCGAAAATGAGGTCTATCCAAGTCCATTTTTTCTTATTTGGATTGATTTTTACTGCTATGTTTTTTAGCCTTGGATGAGTGTAGTAAAGGTTAACAATGGTGTTTAAGGAGTGGTGGGGTGGGGGTGGGGTACTGATATATGCAGTGAATGGATTCTTTAGTTTTTTTTTCTTGCTGGTTTGGTATTTTAGTAATTTATATTTGATATTTTCTCAAATTGAATCCGACTGTCCCTAATTTTTTCTTGCTGCTTTGTTCATCGGGTTATCGGTATTATCAAATTCTGAGGATGACTTTCTTATTGTTTGTATGATAAAATGTAAGATAATGATTATCAGCCACCATACATGGTTGTGCATCTATATGCAAGCAACATAGAGCGGGCGCTGGTGGTTTTTGGTTGTAGATTTGGTCTCTTCATGATTGTACACAGCCTTAATGCGAAGTCATGAACAAAAAAGATTGTGAGGTAAATTTAGTGCAAGTTAAAGCTGTAGTCTCGATAAAGCGAGTCGTTCGTGAATTGGTAGTTCCATTTCACGGTAATGCAGGCGTCGTTCCTGCTTTTCAATTTGGAATCCTGCACTGTTTTCTGTACATTCAACTTTATTTTTGTTGTACACATTTTTGGTGGATCAACAGCTCCATGACTTCTCATCCTTGTAACAATGATTGCCATCTATTTTTCATACAAATCCAGGTCAAAATATGGTGCACAAAGCAAGAAGCTAGCGTCCTCAACATTGATATGAAGGCTAATATATGCTGTGTAAAATATAATCCTGAGTCTAGCCTATATGTTGCGGTAAAAAACTATTTGTTGCTCCCTGTTTAACCCCCCTTTTTTTTGGGGTGAGTGCGGAATTGGAAAGGAGTTATGATAGATATAATGGCTGTTCAGATAGACATAGTAACCGTTCAACATTGTGGAATATTTTCTTAATTTTCTTGTGAAGGCATATAAGTAGGTGATCGAAATGATCTATAGTAGTGATCTGTACATATATGTACATGCTCATGAATCTTGTTGCATCCATTTCTTAGCTATGGGAGTTGTCTGTCCAATCTTGTGGATAAATTGGGATAGAGGTCTATGAGACTTGGAGTGAATTCTCGATATTTTTTGGAAGAGCAATTGCTATGCTATCAAACTGATTGTCACCTTTAAATTTTAATTTGGATGCATATTTATATGATAGGAGCAATTGCATTAGTGTCATGTAATTGAATAAAATATTTTATGGCAAATAGATTGATATAATTATTGCCACGATTTTATTCATTAATTGACAAAAGATAAAGGACGAGGCAAAAGAAATAACATGGAAAAGCAAGAGCAGTAGACTAATATAGACATGAGGTATCATCCTTGAAGTACGTCCATTACGAAACTACTGCTTCAGGAATCCACAACTTATTTATCTGTCATTTTTATTTTCTTTGAAATAAGATATGATTGGGAGCATACATTGTAATATATTATGCAGGTTGGCTCTGCAGACCATCACATCCACTATTATGATTTAAGAAACACCTGCCAGCCAATTCACGTGTTCAGTGGCCATAAAAAAGCCGTTTCGTATGTAAATTTTTTGTCCAACAATGAGCTTGCTTCTGCATCAACCGACAGCACTCTTCGATTATGGGATGTCAAAGAAAATTTGCTTGTAAGATTCACGACTACAGATATTCTTCATTAAGCACTTCAATACGAACTGCAATAACCATCAATGGAAGCAAATATTCATTGTCAATTACATTCTTTTTAGATGTTTATCATTTTTGGTAATATATTGGAGATTAATGTTTTCAGGTTCGTACATTTAGAGGGCACACAAACGAGAAGAATTTTGTTGGTCTTACAGTAACGCATATGTAGATGGAGAGGTGACAAAGGATATGTTGATAGTGGACTCGTTCAGATTTAAAGGTCGACAAAATTCATTCAAGCTAACTTGTTATGATTTAAGGTGTTATATTAATTGCACATTATTGCTATATTTGATATCGTAAAGCACATTATTTATAGGGAGTGATGGTCCACTTATAGTGATGGAGCATCAAAAAATATGATGTTCAAATGGAGGGCCCGAAGATCACGTCAAACCTATAAAGGTGTAGTTATCGATTTCAATTTTCCAAGGCAAAAGATGAGCCACTGAGAGGAAAAATGGGCTAATTGACCAAACCGAACCCTAATTTTGTTTTTGATTTCTTTATTACGAAGCCGGCACGAGCTGATTTCATGGAGTCCCCTACACCCGTTTCTCGATACATCCCCCAGAATTCCAAGTATTTTTTTTTTCCGGCATATGATTTTCTATATGTATTTGTATGAAGCATTTATATGCAGTGGATTTTTTATGGGTGCAGGAAAAGGGTATTTCAGTGTGGGAGTTCTAGCGGGTGTCAAGAAGCGGATGTGGTCGAAATCCCGACGCCGATTAATCGATCTTCCAAAGCCAAATTATTGAAGCAAAAAGAGGTGTTTGATTTTTTTTTTTTATCTTTATTTTTTTGTATGTTTTTTGATGAAACCTTGTGTCTTTTGTACACTGGATTCTGGTAGTAAGTTGTTATAGGTTTTCTTCTATTTTTCCTTTTAGGAGTGGGTATAGATTTTCTTCTATTTCACCTATTTAGGCATTGGATTGTTGTTATTTCTTTGGGGATTTTTTTCTTCAATCCTGGAGTTTTTGTGATTAAAATCAAAATTGCATTGAGCAGAATAGAATTAGGCCTTCGAAATACAATGAAGAGTTTTTTTTAGCTGAAACCATTTCGTTTTAAGGTTTCAATGTAGTGATGCATTGCTAAGTTTTTTAACTGTTTTTCTTTTTCTTTTTCTTTTTCTTCTTCTTTGTCCTTTTTTTTTCCCAGTTACCACAGCTTAATATAGATTTTTTGTAGTTAATTGATTTTGATGGTGATGTAAACATAAATGTGGGAATCTGTGCCTAAAATTTCTGTATTGGGGAAGGAGGGATTCAGTGACAAGAAATATTGAAGAGTTCCCTACCTGATGATTTTGGAAGTTATAACGGTTTTGCATGTTGACAATTTTGCAGTCAAGATGTCAGCATACTATTGTATGAGAACATGCTTTGACTCTTGTTTTATTTTTAAGCAGATTGTGTGAATTTGTATCTTGATATTCTTGGCCATCATAATCAATGTTTGCTCTTACATGTTTGCACCTATTGCATTTATTTGCACTGGATGATTTGAAATGAAAGAACAAACATAAAAATAGCAATGAGTAATAAGATTGCATGTATTTCAGGTCACAACATTGGAAACTCTGAGGATGACAAGAAGACAAGGCTTGGATCTTTCAAGAAGAAGGCAATTGATGCCTCTTCAATATTCAAAAAATCTAAGACCAGGAGGAGGAGAAGCAACAAAGTTATGTCCATTATGTTGGAAGATGAACATGACCAGGAGGAATTAAAGTCCGTGGATGCCTTGCGTCATGCACTTACTCTGGAAAAATTATTGCTTGGAAAACACGATGACTATCATTTGATAGTAAGGCAACATTCTTTTTATTTTTACGGTCTCCAAGATCCTTTATTTGATTTTGAGATGAATGCAATGTACACACCTTTTTGGTCCAATAGCAGCAATTTGAATTGCACGAGGGATGCAAATTTTTCATTATCCATTGTTTGGTGAATGCCTTGAGATTTTCTGTTTAAGAAACCGAATTTTTTTCCCTTGAGCTCGTAAACATTATAATTTTATCTATTTTAAGGTTCAGCACCATTGATACAGAAAACTTCTTCAAATGGGTGATATAGATTATGATTTGCTCGTGATGCAGAGTTTGTATTTAATGAAGAAACTTCTGATGTAGAATATCGTTTTCATTTTAAATTATATTCTTCACAATAAGGCCAAAGACTTTAGTTCTTAAACGATAAGAGAATAGCAGTAAGGTTTAAATAGTTTTTGTGTGATGATAACAAATTAATTCTTAAACAAAACTATTAAATATAAACTAAGCAAACGTGCATTGCACGTTGCATACACCTAGTAGAAATAAAAATTGTGTAAAAATGCAGAAGAAAAACTGATATTTATAGGCGGAATAATTCGATTTTTTGAAAAACTAATGCAATATAATCAGAAACAAAAAGACACAGCCGTCGGACTCTTCCTTGATTTCAAATAGGGCCGTTATGAACGGCTCTTTCTCTTCCTATTTGTTATTTTTGTTATTTGGATCTTATTTCATATATTTTGGAAAAATCAGTTGTTTTGGAAAATTATATAGAGAAATGCTTCACTTACAGCTTTTTTACACAGTAAGTTTGACAGCCCTCCCACATAGGGGTGGGGCCACACCCATATGAGAGAGCTGTCAAACTTATTGTGTAAAAAAGCTGTACATTTAGCATTTTTCAATTATATATTCTTCAACTCAATTTCAGATTTTTAAGGTCCTATTTGGTTTGCGTTTCAGTTTTGAATTTTGAATTAATTTTAAATTTTTAGTTTTGAGAGTCGGTTCTAAGATTACCAAAAACGTGTTTTGTTTGTTATTGAAGAAAAATGTTTCTCAAAACAGGAAAATGAAAAATAGTTTGATTTTGCACAAGCGTGATATCGCGCACGCTGTCAATCAAAACAAGAGTCTTTTCCATCCCATGCAGCACTCCTTATGAACCCGGAGGCAGTGAGTTCCATTGCCATTACTTCAGCTAAGTGCGGGCCTTCCTTTAAAGGTAGTATGGGGAATGTTATCAAGCAACCAATGAATCTTTCCTTCGGCCATCAAGGAATCAAGCAAAAAGCTCAATCTTTTCAGGTGAATCAGCGAGTTCCAGAAAAGAAAGAAGCCCGTGAGGTTTAGAATCCACCAAGGGTGGTTTTAATGGACGAAATCGGGAATCTTGAAACAGTTGGAAGTTCCTCCGCCTTTTTTTTTTGGTCCAGTTTGGTAAATCAATGGTTAAAGTGGAAGCTATAGAAGTTTTGGTTAGGAATGCAGGAGAAATCAGACAGAATTGCCGAGTAATCAATCCATGAATTGCTTTTGCCCCGTGCATCAAAGGAGAAAATCTGTCGGTGCTGGTGTTTTTTCCTTTCTTGAAATTTTGGTTACTTTTTATTTTCTCAGATTAGTCTAACAGATATCAAACGATTCTTAGTTCTGAAAATTGTAAGCATGTTTATGCTTAATGTGTATTCATTTCAAAATGAATAAATTTATATTTCCATAATAGCATTTTTTCTTCCTCTAAAATTTCTTCAACAAGAGTGCCTTAGAATTTAGAAATGGTAGAAATCAGAACTTTAGCACGCCTTGTACACCTTTCAGAACTTAATCTGTTTACCATTGCTCAAGTAGTTGCAGTCATTTTGGTATCAACGTGGGAACTTACAGGACTTACTAAAATGCAACTATTAGTCGTGGAAACAGGTAAAGCCAACACTCTCTTCTCTTTAGCTCAAGGATGCTATTAACCCAGGTACGAAGAACTCTGAAGGTGACTGTAATGAGCTAGTCTGTTTTTCTAGAAATGAGTCGAGGCTTAGAACATCAAGAGAAGAAAACAAATAAATTGTATTTACTGCAGAATGTTTCCTTCAGATTTCGGTGGCAAGAGGTGATGTATACAACTCAAGCATGCAGATCTTAGGTAAGTTATTTGATATGAAATATACTATTTTCCAAAGATCCAACAATGTTCATGCAGTGGCTAAGAATCTATCTTTAACAGTGTATTGTGGTGCTTGAGTTCACAATGTTCTCGAGTACTTGACCGAATCCTTTGTTCAATGGACCAATTAATGCACCTGGACCAGACGGTTCCCAGACCGGCTGAATAATCTGATTTTAATAATTATGGTTAAGCGTGTTGACTTGGTTAGAGAAGCTTGTTACATATCTCCAGAGAAAAATCTGCTGCATTCTTTAATGTGAGCCTCATTTCTTGAACTCTTATGATGATCATAAATAATGGATACTTACAATTGTGCCCAAGAAACAAAGACTATAGGTAACCCCAAATGTAAGGAGTATCCATTTATGGCTTGTCTCGGTCTGCCTCACCACATTTATCTGTGGCCTGTCTTTGGTCGAACATGCTGTTTAAATTTTTTGCGTACAATTTTTTTTTTTTTGGGAACGTGGGCCATATTTTGAAAACACACTAAAGGATACCAGTTGAAGTTTGCATTCAAGATGCATAACTTGTCTAAAACCAAAAAAAGATTTCTCATAATCAACTGCAAGACTTGTAACTCCCTATACAACAAAACAACTTGATCACTAGAAAATAAGCTATAATGCCACCCGTCAGCAGTTTAAGGAGTTCAATGTTATCCATGATCAACAAAATAAAACCACATATTTCAAGTAGCTTATCTGTTATCACCATTAAGAAAGACAAATTTCAATAAAATAGCTCTGTTCAACCCACTTCATCTGAGAAATTGTTCAATGCGAAGTAATACCAAACTAGAAACACGCGATCGACAAATCAATTTGATTTGTATGCTTCCTTCAACGAGGGAATGGGGAGTTTGACTCACTTCATCTTGGCCTCTGTGAAGAGGACATGGCGATTAACGAGACGGTCGTATTTACGAAACTCGAGTTTTATCTGACTGCTTTCCACATTCAATTAAACATAAGCTTTTTATGCCATAAAATCACTCTGAAATCCACAACAAAAAAAGGGAAAAAATAAATCAAATTCTATCATTCGAGAACGCTGCTAAGTGAAAATTCTCAGTAGAAGCAATAAAACGAAACATGGTAACAAGAGATTCTCTCTGACGAACAATATCAACCATTTGTACACATACATGTCACACATAATAAACGTAGGTGCGTATATAAAGAGAAACAGACGAGAAGAAATGAGGAGAGTTACCTGCGGCCCACCGGGTGCAAAATGTATTGGAATTGTAGGGGTAAATTTCACTAGGGGCTTTGATCTCTTTAGGAAATGTCCAGTCATTAAAAATAGAGTACAGTATAGTTAGAATGTTGAACATTTTTTTAGTAAAATATCATTATTAAGAATAATTATAAGTCGTCTCTTGAATACAAGAAATTGTGAATACACTTCTTGATAATGAAATTCGTGAACAACCAATTAGGAACGGTCATAATAAAATTTACAAGTCATTTTCAGATGTAATCGAAGGCGAAGTCGGAAGAGTTCTTGAGATTCTGCTAGAAAACAGGTTGCTTAATAATCATTGACGTGAATCCTTCACTTTCAAAAAATTTTATACTGAATCAATACGATTTTTTTTTAACCTTAGAAATTTAATTGGTCTTGAAGGGTAGGCATGAGCTCTTCCCTTCACCCCTGTTCCATGAGGCCATATTCATTGTTGTGAATGTAATTCACCAAAAATTTCAATGTTTTTAATAAGGATTATTCTATGTGTACACCTTGTGGTGTACACAATCTTTTACACCTCCCTCACATGGAGGGGGACCCACAAAGTTCCCCTCTATGTGAGGGGAGTGTAAAAGATTGTGTACACATAGCACTTTCCTTTTGATAAAGAGATGGAACTATGATTGTCTTGGATGAACATCGTAAAAGGTTCTTTCAACGCATATTTATTAAAAGTTTGAAACAACATTGCACATTTTTGAAGGGTTCGAAACTTCAGCAACAAATTTGGATTATAAGAGATTTTAAAGTTCATAGAGAGGGTTTTCGCCAATTTGAAAAGATGGAGGATGTTTGACGATAAATCCATATGTTGAGAGTTTTTGTGCCTTTAATTAATTAAGGTTAAAAGACTATGTTGCGTTTTTTAAAGATGGTCAAATTATGGTTAGAAGCTTGATTTTTGGTCAATTGATGGTTTTTAGACGAAACCATCCAAGGGTCCTTCTATCACACATTTTTAAAATGCTGAGACGTATCAACTATAATTTAGAAGTGTGGGACTAATGTCTATTGTTTGAAAGGTTTGGGACCTCTGATGCAAATTTCCCTAAAAAATAAGAAGAGTACATGAAACAACACAAAAAATCGTGCATCAAATCAACTAATCTCTCAACTGACCCCCCTCTCTCTATAGAACACACAGTGAGAGTGGAAGCGTGTGAATCAATGGCGTCTTCAACGGCGAGGCTTACACTCCGTTTAGTGGTGGTGGCTCTGATGCTGCTGACGCTGTACTACGTCGGCCGCCCGCTCTACTGGAAAATCTCCGCCACCATTCATGACATCCGCAATAACAAACAAACCGTCTCTGGAGGTCCATTTTTCATTAACTTAATTCACATATATTCATTTATGTATACGTATTCGTGAATGTATTGATCTGTATATTTATGTATATCGTAATTTCNATTCATTATTTTCTATTTGGTTTCCTCAAAGGTACATTTGATGCACTTAAATCTTTCACCTGTATTTAGTAGATACATATTGTGTTGTATTTTTTGTTATAGTTTGATTGAGGTATGTG